TTTTTAGGGGCACAGTAAAGCCTGTATTTTGTCTTTATTTCTGATTTGTAAGTTTACATTTTTATGAAAGACTCAAATATATTAATTTAAATTTATGTTGGAATAAATTAGTAGAAATTACCATTTAATTGCAAAATTTACTCATTCAAAAGCAAAAAATTCTGAGTGAATCATTATAAGAACTTAAAAGTTAATAAAAATTAATAAAAATTACAACTGCATTAATTAGAAAAAGAAATAAAGAGAAATTAATCATATGTATACTGATAAAATGTATAGAAGAACATGTGACTGTAAAAACGTAAACTGTAAAAATTCGGCTAATTTTTAACGAATTCTGATAAAAAAAATGTCAGTCAACACAGAATTAAATATTCTTAAAAATTGTTATTAAAAAAAAATTACTATTAAAATTCAAATTTTTTTATCTTTTCAATTTTTTTGTCCTAATTAATACTAAAAAAAATAATTCATTAAGTTTGTACCAAGAATGACAAAGTTACAATATATTTTATGCATTAAGTTTAAAGAACGGATTTTTAGCTCTAAAATGAAATTTCGGGAGTGTTTGAGTGATTTAATTTATAACATTTTTTTAGTTTTTCAAAATGAACAAGTTAGAATAGGTCTGATTTAAAGTACTATTACTTTTTCATTTTTAATAACACTTAATGAATCCATAATTCCTCATTTCAAGAAAATGAAAAAAATGACTTTCCTCACATAACCACTAGAATTAATTTTAAAATAAAAAATTTGTATTAATTTATTTTTAAAACAATCTTGTTATATTTAAAACGTTCTCTTTTTAATTAAACATTATCATAATTAAGTGATTTAATGGTTTTAATAATTTTTTCTAATAAAAAAATAACAATTATAAGTCATTTTTTTATAAGTCATTTTGATTATGTCAAAAAGTTTTTAAGGGGCGTTCGATAGCAGGAAGAACTTTCAGATTTTATTAATACTTGGTCAATTTGTTGTGTTTATGGTGCTTTTAAAGTACATCTAAGGATTTTGCAAAATTTTAATTATTTTACAAGATATTGTTAAATAAACTTTTTGGTCACTTTTTTAAAGGAATTTTTATCTTGTAAACTATTGGTCTTGGAAAAAAATGTTTTAGATACAAAATGAAGCCAATTATAATTTCGAAAAAATTAATTTTTTCCTTTTTGATTGACTGCTTGCGACACTGCCACGCAAGCCGTATGGCTCAAGCTGAACAATCATGTCAATTTTACTCCCTTTTCGCAATAAAAAAGGAAAGCAAACAAAATGCGGCTATTTTGATTTTGTTTCCCATTCCTGACTTACGGTAATGAACTTTTTCGAAGAAAATATGTCCAACAACGAAATGGATCGAATTTCATTTAACGAAAACTTGAGAGCAATCGAAATGAATCCTCAGCAGGAAATCATTAATAAATTTGTAGAGATTATTATAATTATCAAAAATCACATCTCTACAAATTGGAGTAATTTTTAAGGGCATTTCAAACCTTAATAAAAATAATTTTTTATGAAATTTGGTTATTCCATTCATAAGAAAAACAACTTTAAGAAATAATTGTTTAAACAAATTTGTCGAAAGGTTTATAAATATATTTATGCTTATTTCAATTTTTTTGAAAAATGAATTTATCAGCTTTTGAAAGTTTGTCCCCTCATTTCATTCGTAATTTTTTTGTTACTTTCAGGAAGTCTGTAAATTGATGATTAATCATGAGTTAAATAATTTCTTGCGCTAATGAAATGCTCAAGTTACTGGTTTTACTAAGGTGTCGTTCAAAAACTACGTTACTAATTTGGGAGGGTGGGGGTCCAAAAAGTATAAAAAAAATTGGTAACGTAAAATTCTAATATTGCCTCCTTTACCCGGCAATAAAGTATAAGAAGCTTTTTGGCTTATAAAAAACACAATACTGATAGAAAACAGACCTGTCAATTTAAATCTCTTTTTGAATGACTTCGAGGTGACTTGGATGCGCGGTGTAGCGCCACAACAATTCACATCTTTCAGTAATGAAAAAACATTAACCAACATTTTTCAACTTCACGGAGGACGACTAAACACAATCTTTGGAATTCATCCAGACATATGGACATTTAACGAAAAACTTCTTTCTCTATCCAACAATTTATTTGTAGAAAATCAAAAAATATCTCAAAGCGTATGAATTTCGAATATTCAAACATCAATACTTTTTGGCAAAGGTTCAGTTCGAAACAAAATGCAATTATTGTGGAAATCATTGGAAAACGGTACTATACCTTAACAAGAATTTATTACAGAAACCTCATATGACAGAATATTTTTTTTATTTATTTAAAAGAGGCAATATTATAGTTAGTATTGTAGTTAGTAGAGAAGTTACTTGAGCATTTCTTTCGCTCAAAAAATTATGCAACTCATGATTTATCATTAATGTACAGACTTCATGAAAATAACAAAAAATCACGAATGAAATGAGAAGCAAATTTTCAAAAGCTAATACCCAAATCCATTTCTCAAAAAATTGAGATAAGCATAAATTTAATATTTCAAAGATCTCAAAAATCAAATTGTCACTGTTAAATTAAAGAAAAAAATTTTATTAACAACGATTTTTTAATTTAAGGGGTGTTTCATTGCTGGAAGAACTTTTGAATTTACATTTTGTTAATACTTTTTCAATTTGTTGTGTTTATTGTGCTTTTAAAGTATATCTAAGAATTTTGCATACATATTGTTAATTATACTTTTTGGTCACTTTTTTTAAAAGAATTTTTATCTTATAAACTATTGGTTCTGGGAAAAAATGTTTTAAATCAAAATTAAAGTAAATTTATTGTATTTAAAAATTTTTTTAAAACTTTTTGATAAATTTGTTTACACAATTAATTTTTCAAGTTATTTTTTTATTTTATGAAGGGAAGAACCAAATTTTACAATTTCGAGAAATTAATTATTTACTTTTTGATTGACTGCTTGCGACACTGTCACGCAAGCCGTATGGCCCAAACTGAGCAATTAAATTCATTTAACTCCCTTTTCGCACAAAAAAGGAAAGGAAACAAAATGCGGCAATTTTGATTTTGTTTTCCATCCCTGACTTCCGGTAATGAACTTTTTCGAAGGAAATATATCCAACAACGAAATGGATTGGATTTCATTTAACGAAAACTTGAGAACAATCGAAGTGAATCGTCAGCAGGAAATCATTGATAAATTTTTAGAGATGTGCTTGAGCCATACGGCTTGTGTGGCAGTGTCGCAAAGAGTAAATGAAAAAGTCAAAAATTAATTTCTCGAAATTATCAAAAATCACATCTCTACAAATTGCAGTAATTTTTAAGGGCATTTCAAACCTTAATTAAAATAATTTTTTATGAAATTTGGTTATTCCATTCATAAGAAAAACAACTTTAAAAAATAATTGTTTAAACAAATTTGTCGAAAGGTTTAAAAATATATTTATGCTTATTTCAATTTATGCTTATCTCCATTTTTTTGAGAAATGGGTTTAGGTATCAGCTTTTAAAAATTTGCCCCCTTATTTCATCCATAATATTTTGTTACTTTCAGGAAGTCTGTAAATTGATGATAAATCATGAGTTAAATAATTTCTTGCGCTAATGAAATGCTCAAATTACTGGTTTTAGTAATGTGTCGTTGAAAAACTACGTTACTAATTTGGGAGGGTGGGGGTCCAATAAGTATGGTGCTCAACTGCCGTCCACTAATCCCTCTTTCCGGAGACCTTGACGACCTTGATGTGCTTACTCCAGGACATTTCTTAATAGGAACAGCGCTCACATCATTACCCCAGTCCAGGTCAGGGGAACAAAATTTAGATGCGTTAACCCACTGGAAGCTCATGAAAGGAATTCGTGATCATTTTTGGCTGCGATGGTCCAGAGACTACTTAAATACTCTTCAGCAACGCTCTAAATGGACAAGACGTCGGTCAAACCTCAATATTGGAGACCTAGTGATTGTGATCGACCCATCGCTGATCGGACCTCAAGGACGCTGGCCTCTTGGACGCATCATTCAAACTCATGTTGGAACTGATAAATTGGTCAGAGTAGTGACCATAAAAACTCAGTCCGGAACATATACCAGACCTGTGACAAAGATTGTGTTGCTACCGGTTGAAAACATATTAGTAGAGCGCGAAACGGCGGGCGGCGCGACTTAAATGACTTATGTTTTGTTTCGTTCCCGGACCGAGGCGGGCGGAATGTTCACAAAAAAAGGGCTCGTTCTTTCGAGGTACGGCCCTTGGCGTCCTTTTTCCTGAGACGCGCTCGAGTGGGGGACGGTGTGCTCGTCTCGCTCGATCTCAAGTATTAGTATTGCTGCATCTTTGTAGAAGTAACAACGTCGCAAGTACTACGAAGCTCATTTGTGTTAATTGTTCCTCTAATTATTAAGTATTGTTAATTTAAATAAAGTTTAGTCAATTACAAAGTGTTATTCAGTTTCCTTTCATCAAATTTCTAATTAATCATCAACATTTTGGTCCTTCGAGCCGGATAAAGGCATTCGAGATCAGATCTACTTGTACCAGGGAATTTACATGTAAGTTTCTTTTCTCTTTTCTCAAATAGCAATTTTAACTTATTGTTATCCCTGTCTTATATAATCTAACATTTTCTAATCCTTATCATCTAAGTTCTCCTCGCTCATGTTAAATGTTGGTAACGGTCATATTAAATCAAGCATAATTTGTATATAGCTGCATCGCATTTGTGAATTGTATGAAGCAAATCGCCGACCACGTGGTGGTTCCGGCAGCCTGCTGTATAGGATGAGTCTCTATCTACCCACACTGGGGTTTGGCATCTATCCTAGATAAAGAGATTTTCTGACTTTCGAATCTAATTCAAGTCAGACATTGTGATTAACAATTACTAGCTTTCGATCTAACATTAGGTCAAGCAGTTCAAACTGTCGCAAAAAAGAGCCGGTGAGGCGGTAATTGTGCAATATTTTTGTTATTTTCAGCAAAATGGATCTCAGATCACAAAGGGCGTTAGCGGCTGTATTATGCAAGGGATCACAATCTGTTAGGGATCAACCAATCAATCAGTGGACGAGTGGTTTGGTTGAAAGTCGTTTAAAGCTGTTAGAGTCTTACTGGGCCAATTTTCAAGGCAACCACGTGTCCCTTCTTGCAGAAATAGGAGAGGACGCTGACAACGACCCCTACTTTCAGGAAGATGTCTATCATCAAGCAGAGAATGACTATGTAACTACCAGAGGTTACCTTTTTGACATTCAATCACGACTCAGAGTTAATCAAAGCGGCTCAGAACAGTTTTCCAGTCACTCAGCTGTCATTTCAAGTCACACCAGATTACCAAGAATAACTGTACCCCCATTTAATGGCGATCGGCAGCAGTGGGAATCTTTTAAGGATATGTTCAGGTCTTTAATCCACTCTGACCCCACATTAAAGGATGTTGACAAATTATACTATTTGAAAACTCTTGTTTCTGGCGAAGCTCTCTCTGCTATACAGTCTATTCCAATAACGGCAGACAATTACGCCATCGCATGGTCCGCCCTGGAATCAAGATTCGACAACATATATCTTCTTGTACAGAGTCATTTACTGAGTTTGAAGAGAATGCGTTCCATCAAAGAGGAATCACAAGCCGAACTCCAGAGACTATCTGACGATCTACGACGTCACCGAGAACAATTACGGTCTTTAAAACGTCCAGTTGAACAATGGGATGACTGGTTCGTGTCAATCGCCTCAGATTGTATGGATCGAGTAACAAGACGTGATTGGGAAGAGGAACTGCAACGTCTATCACCAGAGAATAGTGCATCATTCTTTCCCTCCTTCACACAATTGGACGCATTTCTACAAAGACGATGCCGAACCTTGAAATCACTTGATCTAACACGAGGAAAACCATCATCTTCATCATCTCGATCCAGCGGTCATTCTAGTGGATCATCATCGAGAAATGCAACAGTAGCCGCTACCACTACATCAAAATGCGAAGCTTGCGATGGTTCACATTACATCGGCCGCTGTGAACAGTTTCAAAAGATGAGTTTGGTTGAGCGCCGAAAATTAACAAAACTGAAACGATTATGCTTCAACTGCTTGAGGTCCAACCACTTATCATCAACATGTCCATCATCTCGGACTTGTCGAACATGTCAAAAATCCCATCATTCACTGCTTGCTTCACGATACATCGGGAAAACGACCTGCAAAGTTCAATCAAAGCGGTGAAAGTGCAAAAAAGAAATCGCGACTTTCAGATGAGGAATCACGCAAAGAGCTAGACGGTCCATCATCTTGACCAACAATACTACCAACAGCTCTCGTAACTATTGGAGATGGGGATCATCATCACATACGAGTGAGAGCTCTCTTAGACCCTTGTTCCGAAGCAACCTTGATCAAAGAGAACTTGATCAACAAAATTGGGATCAACATTGAAATTAACCCACTCAGCATTAGTGGGATCGCTGGGATGCCAATGGACCAAGCGAGGTGCAGTGCAAAAATTTACATACATCCAAAAGGTAAACACCCTTCAATTCCTGTTCAAGCTCATGGACTAAAACGTATCGGGATAACAACCCCATCTACGAAATTCACCGGTGAAATCCATGCACTTGAGAAACTAAGTTTAGCCGACCCTCATTTTGCGCATCCTGCTGGAATTGACCTAGTTATTGGTGCAAATATTTACAGCGATATCTTGCTTCCGGGGGTTCAAAGAAGAGGGTCATTGCTAGCACAGAACACGATATTTGGGTGGACGTTAACGGGATCAAGCCAGGAAAATTTCTCGAGGTCAATAACCAACGTTGCCACCATTGGGATGTCAACAGAAGATGAATCCTGGCAAGAAGGTATATTAGGACTGCTCCAGAAGTTCTGGTCAATCGAAGATATACCTCGGAAACCACGGCTGTCCGAGGATGATGTCAAATGCGAGAGTATCTACAGCAGCCAACACAGTCGAAATAAGGTGGGTCGTTATGTGGTTCCCTTACCGCAAAAGGATAACTCTCGAATTATGATTGGCACAAGCCTTGCTGGCGCGCAACTCGCTTTAAAAAGTCAACAAAAAAGAATGCAGAGAGACAAACAGTTTAAAGAGGAATATATCTCTTTCATGAACGACTATTTGAAATTAGGTCATATGAGAAGATTGTCGCCTCAAGAGATACAAGACAATTCACAACCAACTCACTACATTCCCCACCACGGAATTTGGCAAAGAGGCGATAATACTTTCAAATTCCGCGTCGTGTTTAATGCCTCTCGTAGAACGACATCAGGTTATAGTCTCAATGACACCCTTCACGCAGGCCCAAAACTTCAAAACCATCTTTCTGCGGTTGTTACCAATTGGCGAAAACATAAAGTCGCTTTCTGCGCCGACATAAAAATGATGTACCGGCAGGTTTTAGTACGGACATCAGACACAAACTTGCAACGAATTATCTGGAGTCCGTCAGCAGAACAACCAGAGGAACATTTTGTGCTTCTTACCGTGACCTATGGAGTTACATCTGCTCCATACTTAGCATTACGGACCTTGAAGCAACTATGCCAAGATGAAGGACAATCCTTCCCGACAGCTGTTCAATCAATTCAAGATGAGCTCTACATTGACGACTTTTTAAGTGGCGGATCAAGCGTGGAAGAAGCGAAACATCGACGTAATGAACTGATAGGACTCTTGAAAAAGGGAGGATTTGAACTTAAAAAATGGGTGTCCAATTATCCAGATCTCGTAGGGGAAATACCTCTTTCTGACAGATTACGCCCAAGTTGGCGACATTTTGAAGTCGGGGGCTTTGTAAATGAATTAGGACTTGCCTAGGATCCTGTCCAAGATCAATTTCGATTCTCTGCTCCAAACTTCGATGAGAGCAACGAGATTACCAAACGCAAAGCCTTATCAGAATTAGCAAAACTATTCGATCCTCTTGGTTGGTTGGCTCCTCTAGTCGTTGTCGGAAAAATGCTCATCCAGGATCTTTGGAAAGCCAAATTATCATGGGACGAACGAATTCCAGCATCCATGATGTCATACTGGAATATGTTCCGGGAGAATGTGAAAAAAGTTCATCAAATCAACATCCCTCGATATATTAATTATGAGCCAAACAGTCAAATAGAATTACATCTATTTACCGATGCAAGCCGAAGGGCAATGGCCGCTGCTGTTTACTCTCGCACATCTTCCTCTCACAAACAAATGTCAACACCACTGATAGCAGCCAGAACCAAGTTGTCTCCAATTAAGAGCCTTAATCCCTCGAAACGACCTGTTGGAAGGGTCACAATACCGAGGTTAGAACTTCGAGCAGCTCTACTAGGCGCAAAACTGTTGAAAGCGCAGGCAGAGGCATTATGTATCGAGCTTAATCACTGCACTGGGTGGAGTGATTCACAAGTCGTCATTCGTTGGCTCTCATCAAATCAACCTGTTGGAAACGACCTAGTGGACAATTATATCAGTCATATTCAAGAACTGTTACCAGACTTCAAATGGTGCTACGTTCCCACGTCCGAAAATCCAGCAGATGTAGCCACAAGAGGCAGTGATGTCGAAAATCTATCACAGCATCCTCTCTGGTGGTATGGACCACCCTGGCTTAAAAAAGCCGAAGATGCTTGGCCGAAAGAACCCATTCTTCAATCAAAAAGTGCTCCAATTTCCGAGATCTCAATTCCTATACAATGTCATATAACTCAAACAAATCCGACAATTCTTGGTCGATTTTCATCGCTTATCAAACTCTTAAGAATTCTGGTTCGCTGTCGAAGAATCATTCAAATATGGGCAGGTCGTCAAAAAGCAATATCGCCGTTTGCACCAATGACCACCAGTGAACTTAAAGAGGAATTCAAAACTTGTGTTCGCATTTCTCAACAACAAGATTTTGTCACTGAGATGCTAGCCTTGAAGAAACATGGTGTCGTTCCTGTTGGTAGTCTCACAGCTCGACTAAAGCCCTACCTGGACAGCGAAAACATCTTAAGAGTTGGAGGAAGGCTGGAGAATTCACTGTTATCAGAAGAAGAAAAGCATCCTCCTATTCTCTCAGCTCGAAGCAATCTATCAGGACTAATCGTGGATTGGGCTCATCAACGGGCATTACACGCAGGGTCTACTGTCACTTATGCCTACGCAAGCAGACGAGCATGGATAATTGGAGGTATGACAAAAACGAAGTCTTTTATTAGGAGATGCGTTGTGTGCTCCAAATCTACGAAAAGGACATCTACCCAACTTATGGCAGATCTACCAGCTGCCAGGGTCAATCCCGGAAGACCTTTTAGTAAAGTTGGTGTGGACTACGCGGGACCCTTTCAAATTTTACGATCAAAAGGACGAGGCGTATCATCTTCGAAAGGATATGTGGCTGTGTTTGTTTGCCTAGCAACAAAAGCTATCCATTTGGAACTGGTTGGAGACTTATCTACTGAGAGTTTTCTTGGTTGTCTAACAAGATTTACTGGTCGACGAGGACGACCGCTCGAAGTATGGAGCGACAATGCTACCAACTTCCGTGGTGCAGACAACGAACTCCGCAGGCTATTTCTAGAAGCCGAGACCGATTGGCAACATGTTCAGGATGTTCTCGCTCAGGAAAAAACAATTTGGCGCTTTATACCACCATCAGCCCCTCACTTCGGGGGTCTCTGGGAAGCTGGGGTCAAGTCTATGAAGAATCATCTGCGAAGAATAACAGGTTCCCGAAAACTCACTTATGAACAGTTCACCACTCTACTCGTGGAAATAGAAATGGTGCTCAACTGCCGTCCACTAATCCCTCTTTCCGGAGACCTTGACGACCTTGATGTGCTTACTCCAGGACATTTCTTAATAGGAACAGCGCTCACATCATTACCCCAGTCCAGGTCAGGGGAACAAAATTTAGATGCGTTAACCCACTGGAAGCTCATGAAAGGAATTCGTGATCATTTTTGGCTGCGATGGTCCAGAGACTACTTAAATACTCTTCAGCAACGCTCTAAATGGACAAGACGTCGGTCAAACCTCAATATTGGAGACCTAGTGATTGTGATCGACCCATCGCTGATCGGACCTCAAGGACGCTGGCCTCTTGGACGCATCATTCAAACTCATGTTGGAACTGATAAATTGGTCAGAGTAGTGACCATAAAAACTCAGTCCGGAACATATACCAGACCTGTGACAAAGATTGTGTTGCTACCGGTTGAAAACATATTAGTAGAGCGCGAAACGGCGGGCGGCGCGACTTAAATGACTTATGTTTTGTTTCGTTCCCGGACCGAGGCGGGCGGAATGTTCACAAAAAAAGGGCTCGTTCTTTCGAGGTACGGCCCTTGGCGTCCTTTTTCCTGAGACGCGCTCGAGTGGGGGACGGTGTGCTCGTCTCGCTCGATCTCAAGTATTAGTATTGCTGCATCTTTGTAGAAGTAACAACGTCGCAAGTACTACGAAGCTCATTTGTGTTAATTGTTCCTCTAATTATTAAGTATTGTTAATTTAAATAAAGTTTAGTCAATTACAAAGTGTTATTCAGTTTCCTTTCATCAAATTTCTAATTAATCATCAACAAAGTATGAAAAATTGGTAACGTATAATTCTAATATTGCCTGTTTTACCCGGCGATGAAGTAGAAGAAGTTTTTGGCTTATAAAAAACACAATACTGATAGAAAACCGACCTGTAAATTTAAATCTCTTCTTGAACAACTTCGCGGTGACTTGGATGCGCGTTGTAACTCCACAACGATTCTCATCTTTTAATGATGAAAAAAATTTAACTAACGTTTTCCAACTTCACGGAGGGGGGCTACAGACAATTTTTAGAAAACAACTAGATATATGGTCCCATTAATAAGGGGTGAATTAAAATGTATTTGCACTTTTATGTCCTTAAATTCCAAACTAATTCCGTTTTTGTCCGCATTCTTAATGAATTCCTTTTCTATTGTTAAATTGATAATTTTAATTCAATTCTCTGTAACCACGTAACAAGAATTTGAATCCCCTTTAATTTCAGAATCTTGTCACGTGGTTACATAGAATTAAATTGGATATAAATTATCAACTTAACAATAAAAAAGGAATTCATTAAAATTGCGGATAAAAACAGAATAGGTTTAGAATTTAAGTGCATAAAAATGTCAATCCCCTTTAATTCACTCCTTATTACTGGAGTTATTTAATGAAAAACTTCTTTCTCTATCGAACAAATTATTTGTAGAAAATCAAAAAATATCTCGAAACGAACATATTTCGAATATTCAAACATTAAAAATTTTTGGCAAAGGTTCAATTCGAAACAAAATGCAATTATTGTGGAAATCATTGGAAAACGGTACTATACCTGAACAAGAATATATTACAGAAACCTCATATGCCAGAATATATATATATTTTTTTTTATTTAAAAGATGCAATATTACAATTTTAGTTAATGGAGGAGTTACTTGAGCATTTCTTTCGCTAAAAAATTATGCAACTCATGATGTATCATTAATTTACAGACTTCATGAAAATAACAAAAAATTACGAATGAAATGAGGAGCAAATTTTCAAAAGCTAATACCCAAATCAATTTCTCAAAAAAATTGAGATAAGCATAAATTTAATATTTTAAAGACCTCGAAAATCGAATTGTCACTGTTAAATTGAAGAAAAAATTTTATTAACAACGAATACTTGTTTCTTAATCCTCGCTTAACTACAGTGGTATAAACACCATTTCCACAAAATTTTAGGAAAATTTCAAAATCTCAGGGTAAATGTAAACAGTCTGTTTTAGGCGATTCAGGTGCATCAATGTTTTTTTGTAACTCATAAAATTTTACTAGGAAAGTAAATTAGCTCGTTCATGCAAAAGAAATCCGTCCGTTTTAGCTTTCAACAAAAAAAAAATGATGTTTTTGATGAAAAATAGATTTATCCGTTTACATTTACCCCAAATGTCCCTACATTGGCTTCAATTTTTATCTGAAACATTTTTTCCAGGACCAATAGTTTACAAGATAAAATTTCCTTTAAAAAAAGTGACCAAATTTTTTGTTATTTTCAGGAAGTCTGCAAATCGATAATTAAACACAATTTAAACAATTTTTTGATCGAAGAAAATGCTCAAATAAGTGAGCTGCTTAAAAAAATTTTAGTATTGCCTCTTTTACCCGACGACAAAGTAGAAGCAGCTTCTGCCATTATGAAGAACACAATACCGATAGAAAACAGACCTGTCAATTTAAATCTCTTTTTGAATGACTTCGAGGTGACTTGGATGCGCGGTGTAACGCCACAACAATTCACATCTTTCAGTAATGAAAAAACATTAACCAACGTTTTTCAACTTCACGGAGGACGACTAAACACAATCTTTGGAATTCATCCAGACATATGGACATTTAACGAAAAACTTCTTTCTCTATCCAACAATTTATTTTTAGAAAATCAGAAAATTTCTGAAAACAGACGAATTTCAAGTATTCAAACAGCTAAACTTTTCGGCAAAGGTTCAATTCGAACCAAAATTCAATCGTTGTGGGATCAGTTGGAAAAAGGTAATTTATCTCAATTGGATTTTATTATACAAACCGCACATGATAGTGGAGAGCCTTCGGCAGAATTTTTTTTAATGGATTTAATGAACCGAAACCAGCATATAGAATTGGTGTTGATTCAAAATCAAATTCTCTTAAACGAAAACTCGAGACAAATCGACGAAAATCCTCAGCAAGAATTACCTCAAATTGAACCTGATTTTCAAGAGGAGGAAACAGGTTTGTATAATTTAAATTAATTAATCGAAAAATTCAATATTATTTTCACAAATAAAGTTTTACACAAGAATTTTTTGGAAGAATTGATTTATTTACAAAAATATTTGAAATTTTCACAGGAATTCAATTATTTTCAAATATTTTAATAAAATTGTTTGAAAAAAGTCAATTATTTTAAATACAATATTAATTAATTTTTTTTTAAATAATTCAGGCTTCACATTCTGTCCCCTATTTCCCTAAAAGTCCCCTTTTTTTAATGTTGGCCCCTAAACGTACCCTATTTTGAAAATTTTTCCCCTATTTTTTTCGTCGCAGGAAATCAATTATTTTCAATAATTTTTAAGTAATTCTGCAAAAGAATTCAATTAACTTGATAACCAACAAAATTCTTCTCATAAAATCAATTATTCTAAGGAATTTTAATATAATTCTCTTCTAAAATTTAATTATTTTGATAAATATCAAAATTCTTCTCAAGAATTCAATAATTGTTAAAAATTTTAATTAAATTATTGACAAAGCTTTAAATATTTAAACAAAATTTAATAAAATACTTTACACGAATTCAATAAATTTTAATGAATATCTCGTCAAGAATTCAATTATCTTTACAAAGAGCAAAATTTTTCGTCGAAAATTCTTTTTTTTTCAAAAATTTAAATTTAATTATAGATTTAATTATAGAAAAAACTTGTTGATACAATTTTACGAAAAGATTGAATTATTTTCATAAGTAATAAAATTTTATTTACGAATTCAATTATTTTCAAAAATTTTAATAAAATTTTTGTCAACATTTCAATTATTTTCAAAAATTTTCCTCAATTCTATGATTTTTAATAAGCATCCTCTATTATAATCAAATTATCCAAAATAATTCAATTATTTAATAAACGTTTAATAAAATTCTACACAAACATTTAATTATTTTCCAAAAATAATAAAAATTTCATAGGAATTTCATTATTTACAAATTTTTTTTTATAAATTTCTTCCCAATCATTCAATTATTTTCGTAAATAGTAATATTTTTTCAGGGATTCAATTATTTTGATAAATAATAAAATTCTTATTAGGAATTCAATTATTTTGATAAATAATAAAACTCGTTGTAGAAATTCAATTATTTTTAATACAATTTTAGAATTTAGAATTTAGAATTTCCTTTATTTTTTAATTTTAATCAAATTCCTCGAAAAATGTAATTATTCTTAAAAATTTTATTAAAATTCATCAAAATAATTCCATTATTTTAAAATCCTTTTGATAATATTTTTTTATGAGAATTTAATTTTAAGAAACATTTATTTATTCAATAAATTGTTATTTTTTGTATTTAAAATAATTGAATTTTTGTAGAATTTTCTCATAAAAATTGACTTAAAAATAAATTTCAGTTAAAATATTAGATTATAATTCAACATTAAAAGCATTAGAGCGTTAATTTTTAGACATAATTGAATTTTGAAAAGTTTTCATGTTAAAATCTTTGAAGATTAGAATTTTTTTTATTTTTAACTAACAATTCTGTGGAATTACTTTTTTTTGGAAAAAGTTTAATTGCGGATTTTTTAATATTATTTAAAGTTTTTATATTTTAATATATATTTAATTGGAGAATTTATGAATAATTGAAATTTCGTAAAATTGAATATTGTAAACAAATGAATTTGAAAATTGGCAAAGAACTTTTTTAAAAATTATTAAAATAATCGATTTTAAGAAAAATTTTAGTTAAAAATTCTTGAAAATAATAATTGAATTGATAATGATTTTATCACTCGGAAATTCAATTATTTTCAAAAGTATAATAAAATTTTTCGCAGAAATTCAATTATGTTCAAAAAAAAAAAAAAATTCTGGTCTTTTCAATTATATCTTTAAAAATAATAAAATTCTTCTCCAAAATTCAATTATGTTGAAATTTTTTTTAAAAAATTCTCGTCAAAATTTCAATTATCCTCCTCTTATGAAACTTTTTCCATTAACAGTTAACATGGAGTGTGATATTTTGCTGACCCCCTAAAGTATCACATGCTTTATGGATAACCCCCAATAATTTACAAGATCTTTAATAAATTTCTTCAAAACAAATCAATTATTTTCATAAATAATAAAATTTTCACAGGAATTCAATTATTTAATATAAAAAATTTCAAATTTTTTTTTAGAAAAATATCAGTTATTTAAAAAGAATTTTATAAAATTCTTCTTTAAAATTCAATTATTTTAAAAAACTTTAATAAAATTCTTGTTGAAATTTCACAGAAATTCAATAATTTATAAAAATTTTAAAAATTTCTTTGAAATAATTAAATTATTTTCATAAATAATAAAATTTTCACTTGAGTTCAATTATTTAATATACAAAATTTCATAAAATTTTTCGAAAAATATCAATTATTTAAAAAGATTTTTATAAAATTTGTCGCATGAATTCAATTATTTAAGAAAAAATTAAACAAAGTTCTTTTCAAGAATTAAA